CAACCACATGATTAGAGGTTTGGGATTTTCAGCCTCCCCGACACCCAGCCTCTGGGGAAGGAAGAGGGGTTGGAGAGCTACCTAATCATCAATGCCAATGATTTAATCAACCAAGCCTACATAGTGAAGCCTTCACAAAAACTCCTGAAGTACAGGGCTTGGGGCATGGAAGCTCTGAAACCTTCCCCCATACCTTGCCCTACTCGTCTCTTCCATCTGGCTGTACATTTGCATCCTTTGTGGCAAACTAGCAATATTGCTATGGAAGTAAACTGTCCTCCTGAGTTCTGTGAGCCTCTCAGCAAATCAGTGAATCTGAGGAGGGGGTGGTGGAACCTCTGATTTCTGGCCAGTTGGTCAGAAGTACAGGTGACAACCTGGACCTGAGCCTGGCATCTGAAGTCAGGGGTGGGGGGCAGTCTTGTGGGACTGAGCCCTTAGCCTGTGGGATCCGATACTAACCCCAGGTAGATAGTGTCAGAATGGAGTTAAATTGCAGGACACCCAGCTGCTGTCCGAGAACCGCTTGGTGTGGGGTAACCCCGACATCTGGTGTCCGAGTGGGTATTGAGCGTAGAGTGTGGGTGGTGAGTAGAGGAGCAGAAGGAGAAAACATTTTTTCCTCCACAAGGATGAACAGCTCCAATTGCTTCGACATTCCTCACATTTCATGGTGTCCAAACAAGTCATTTTAAAGCGACTACCAGAAACTGACACCCAAGTGTGGTTTTCTTAAAGTTCTCACCTCGGGAAACTCTCCATAAAGACATCATTGACTGGGCCATGACTCTGCACTTCTCCAAGTTCCCTTTCGGAATTGCCTTATTACTTTATAGCCATCTTTGATTTTAGCCAAAAATGGTATTATCCCAGTTTGAATATCACATTCGCCTTCCAGTGATTCTGAAATGGCTCTAAAAATCAAATTCATCCTGAAACTATGATTCATTGTGCCTGAGAGTATGCAAATGCATGTGCTGGGAGTTCTTAAAGTAAGGCAAAAACTAAAACCATAACAACAAAAACCAAAACTATTATGTTAACTTTTAAAACTATCTCAGTGGAGAAGCCTTTCTAATTATGACAGAAAACCCAGATGTCATTACATCATAAAGTCAAAAATAATAAATGGGGAAATAATAATAATAAAGTGGGGAAAAATTTGCAATGCATTCTATCACAATGGTGAATTTCCTTAATATAAAAAAATCTCCTGAAATCAAGACGAAAATGACCACAATCTCACAGAAAAATGGCAAGGGACACGAACAGATGTTTCACAGAGAAGGAAATAACTCTTAGACGTGCATACAAGATGAATTAGGTCAGCGCACAGCACAACCACCAGGTATCATTGTTTACGCGCCAGAATGGCAGAGCAAAGGGTTTGGTCATAGCCATGTTGGTGAGGGCTTGGGGAAGCAGGCACCAAAGCTACCAGCGGAGTTGTAGGAAAATCTGGCAATACAGTCACAATCTAAAATGTTCCTGCCCTGCACGGCAAACAAAATCATCAACAAAATGAAAAGGCAATTTACTGAATGGGAGAAAATATTCGCAAATCATATATCTGATAAGGAGGTTATATCCAAAATATATAAAGAACTCATACAACTCAACAGCAAAAAAAAAAAAAAAATCCAATTAAAAAAATGGGCAGAGGATCGGACCAGACATTTTTCCAAAGAGGACATTTTCTTCTTTGTTGGCCTTCTTTTCAAAGGCCAACAGGCACATGAAAAGATGCTCAACATCACTAATCATCAGGGAAATGCAAATCAAAACCACAATGAGACATCACCTCATACTTGAATGGCTATTATCAAAAAGACAAGAAATACCAAGTGTTGGCAAGGATGTAGAGAAAAGGGAACCCTTGTCCACTGTTGGTGGGAATGTAAACTGAGACCCACACTATGGAAACAGTATGGAAGTTCCTCAAAAAATTAAACATCAAATTACCATATGATCCAGCAATTCCACTTGGGTATTTAGCCAAAGAAAGGGAAAACACTAATTCGAAAAGATATAGCCACTCCTCTGCTCATTGCAGCATTATTTACAATAGCCAAGATATGGAAACAATCTCAGTTTCTACTGATGGATGATTGGATAAAGAAGATGAGGTATATATACAATGGAACACGACTCAGCCATAAAAAAGAATGGAATCTTGCCATTTGCAACAACATGGATGGACCTTGAGGGCACTATGCTAAGTGAAATAAGTCAGACAGAGAATATGATATCACTTACACGTGGAATCTAAAAATCAAAAACAAAAACCAAGCTTATATTTACAGAGAACAGATTGGTGGTTGCTGGAGGCAGAGGGGTTGGGGGTGGGCAAAACGGACAAGAGGACATAACGTACAGCATGGCGACTGCAGTTAACAATACTGTACTGCATATTTGAGAGTTGCTAAGAGAGATCTTAAAAGTCCTCATCACACACACAAAATTTTAACTGTGTATGGGGATGGATGGTAATTAGACTTATTGTGGTGATCATTTCACACTGTATACAAATATTGAATCATTACGTTGTACACCTGAAACCAATATAATGGTGCCTGTCAATTAGACCTCAATTATAAAAAAGCTATGGAGACTCCAAGCAGTGATTTCACGTCCTTCCCGGGTGAATCTGTTTCTGTTCTGTGGGAGGTTGGGTAAGAACAGCAGGTAAACCCTTGGGAGCATTTCAAGTGAACTCCTTCCCTAAACTCTTCTAGCAGTCTCAAAACTTTGTTTTCTGGAAAAAACATAGCCTTTTAAAGGACTCTTGACTCCCACAAGGGCCCCTACCTTCACAGGCTTTTCATTCCCTCCACTGGCCTAGAACAACAGTGGTTCCTTGGATTGGCAAGGTTGCCACTGTGACCCCTTTATTTACCTCATTCTTGAGACTCTCATCCTTGCTCTTCAATAGGGCAGGGAGAAACCGATGCCCAAGGCCGCACAACAACTTTCCAAGATCTGACCCTGGAGGTGAAGACAAGGGGTCAGTGGGATACCTCAGTGACTCAGCCTAAGAGAGAGCTCCCTGGCACTTTTCCTATTTTCTCAAGATGCTTAATGATCCATCCCTGTGAAGATAAAGGAAGCAAGTGGAACTATCATGAATATCAGAGAGGACACATTTCACATTAAAGAGTAAGAATCAGTTTAATTCCATTATTTCCTAACTTATATTGATGCATTCTTCTCCCTCATCATTCAACTTAAGCTGCAATCGAACTCAGATTTTAAATTCCTTATTAACATATGCTTCTAAGAAGCACTCTAAAACAAAACGATGTTCCTGCCCTTGAATTCGGCAATGTCAGGATGGTTCACGCACATGGACATAAGCCTGGAAACAACTTGATGCTGTGGCGTCCTGTCACCCACATGTGGGAATGTCAACAGCCACTGCAGGACCAAAGCAGCTCAGTGTGCACCAACACTTCTAAGTGGGAACAGGATGGTGTGGGACACGTGGGCAGGAGGTAGTGTGTGAGGAGTGCAAGGAAGAACTGAGCACATAGATGCCCATGTCCTCTGTGAGGTGGGACACATGGGAGGGAACAAAATTCTCATTGCGTCCCCAGTTTGCATCATTTACAACATGTCGGGATGTGCATATGTAGCTATTTTTGAAAAAACAAGAGCCTACTTTATTATCACAAAAGACACTTAGAGTGAAATGACTTGCATATTTTGCTGGGCTCAAAATATTCCATGACTTATTTGGCAATCTTTTGGGAAACTTCCAGTTGTTCACACTTTTTCAGATGTGAGATCACTAACCTATAAATGGACCAAATCAATCCTCACTTTTACCTTCATGCATTTTTGATTCCCTGCCTCCGGAGTTCTTTAAATATTTAAACTGTCAGATATCATGGAAGGAAAGGGGCTGGCAGACCAAGGCGGGGTGGTGAGCCGTGGGGAGAAGCTGGGCTTTTGAGCCCTTGTCAAGCGAAAGCCTCCTGGCTTTAGTCCTAACGTGGCTTCTTATTTGGAGGAAGCATCTTTCCTGCTTTGTCTTTTCCTGCTGTGTTGCACACAGACCTCCAGACCTCTGCCCTAAGATTCATGTTTTGGGGAAAACACCAGGCAGAGGAGAGCTGGCTCCAGTTCTATCAGTGGTTGCACCCTGGTGGTCTCCCTGCAGCCTCCTGGACTTGGGGTTGTAACAGTCACCCCACTCACCAGATGGGGATACTTAGAAAAGGGTAGAAGCCCTCCCCTGACTGAGTGCCTTGCTAGTAGGGCGCTTCTCAAACATCAAAGGTTTTACAGTTGGATCCCTCTCCTGCCTCCCCCACTGGGAAGTTCAAGCTCCAGGAGGTGAGAAGTAAAATTATCCTCTCACTTTTTTCTGCAGAGTCCTTTTCTCTCCCCACAAGCCTCCACCATGAAGGCATATCCAGCAGTCACGTCCGCTCTGGTCCCACTGTGGCCCTGGGAGGTCAAGGGGCCACTCCGTGCTCCCGTCTGTGAGGTCCCAAGATAGGTGTGGGTGCTGTGAGCACCAAGTGCTGGGGGAGAGGGTCTGCCCAGTTTTTTCCGGCATGCAACCCCCTCCAACTGTCCCAGATTAAAGGCAGATTCTGACTAAACACATTGCAACCGGGGCTCAGTGCTTGCTCCAATACCACGCTTTCTCTGGCAGGCACTGCAGGTCACAGTCCCAGGAGAGGGAGCTCTGACAGAGCACAGGGAAGGTGTGGGGCTCCCCTGCCAGACCCCTATAACAGCCTGGGCCTCCACAGGGCCACTTATGATGGGGGACGCCAGGGGGCCAGGGGCAGACCCCATGTGCCCTTCTGCTGTTGTACCCTCGCATGTCTGCTGTGAGACACACTGACAGGACCTAACTGTGCCACCATCTGTCACCCTGCTTGGGTAGTTTTTTGTTAAATCTTTGGTAGCCAGGGATCCCAGATGCTTCCCTGCGGAGCTGGGGTGGGCAAGTGCTGCTGATGCTGACAGGAATCACAGAGAGGCAGAAACCCCTGCAAACCCTTTATTTTGAGTAGAACAAGTGAGGTTCAGTTTCTTCGGTGTACTGTACATTCATGGCAGGAATGACTGTGGACCCGGGACCCAAATCTGAGCACAGTGCACTGCCCCATCTCCCAGAGCTCGTGCCACGGAGGCAAGACGGTCGAGTCAGCATCTTGTGGAGCCCCTGGGGGACGGGCTGTGGCCCCAGACACCAGTAGAGCCATGAGAGGGCAGTTCCAGGGACTGCGGCCCGGCTGACCTGCAGACGTTGTGTCTTCTGACACCTCTGGGTTTGTGAATGCCTCAAGGCAGCAATACATTCACTGGGGTTTAGAACACAAGAGACACAAGCACTCGGCACCACATACAGAGATGTCATTCACGCAGCACAATATTTCACAGCAGTTCAGCTCACACTTAGACTTTCTCTGAATAGCCAGGGCACACGAGGGCCGTGAAGAGGTATTTCCCCCGCCCCTCCTCCCAGTCCTAGTGCCAACTCCATCAATTAGCCTGAGCCACTCAAGGACTGAGGAAACAGACCTCCGGATGACCTCACACATCCACACCCAAGGAGGAGCCAAACAGGTTCAAGTCCAGAGTTCACAGTGTCCCGCCCAGCCTACCCTCCCAGAGGGCGTGATGCTTCCCACTCGGCTCACCCTGAGAGCAGCCAGGATGGCCTGGATAACCTCCCCATGGATTCTCGGGGAGAAGGTGGAGGTCTGCCGTGGGGGCGGGGGAAACAGGGGCAAGGAGACAAGACAAGACACCTGTCACAGGACACACATCACAAATGCCTCAGCCCTGCAGAGAGCAACGGTGGGGGACAGTGGGGCTGCGTCGCCCTGGCCTCACGTGTGCCCTTCGCCCTGTCTGGCTTGCTGCCCACATGGAGCCAAGGCCGGTAGGAGGCAGCACTGGGCCTGGGCTGCCCTCCAGCCCACTGCCCCACCAGAGGCAGGTCTGCAAGGCCGAGGGGAGGAGTGGTCACAGACGAACTGTGGCGTCCTCCTAACATGTCCAGGGATCCCAAGGGGTCTGTTATGGAGATGCAGCCGCTTCTGTGAGGACCGCCGCCGCAGCTCGGCTGCTAGGAGGCCCGACTCTTCCGGCTGTTCAGGGAGTCGATGTAATGAAAAGCGGCCCCCAGCGCCCAGCTGGTCTCAACATTGTCGATTTTCCGAGTCAGCTTGAAAAGATAAAGGGAGGGGCAGAGGGGATCACCGGGTACATGTGGAAGGCAGGCCTGCTTGGGAGGCCGGAAGCAGTGGTCCAGCCTCACGCTATAAAGGGTGCAGGGGCTCCCAAGAAGCAAGTGCTTACCTTCAGGACCTTGTTTCCCGGGAAGCCGAATTCTCGGAGCAGCAAGCTGACGTAGGTGAGGTCCATGCACAGGAAGGGGCTGCTCTGTGGCTGGGTCTCCACCGTGCGGCACACTGAGGGCACAAACACCGGCTTCCGTCAGGCCCCAGGGGGTTTACTTCCTGGGCCGGGGAGGGTACGTGCAGACCCTGCTCCACCCACTCCAGCCCTCAACCTCCACCACTGGGCCAGCCCCAGGTCCTCGCTGCTGATTTAGATGAGACTGCAGCTCAGAGCGAGGAGGTGCTCCGCCAAGAGCACACCAGGAGGCAGGGGCTCCAGGCCAGCCCAGTCCCCAGCAGGCCGGGCAAGAGGAGCCTGTGCGTCAGATGCTGGCGTCATGGGTGGAAGGCCACAGTCTCATGGGCCACATGAGAGGTGCCTGTGACCCTGGACACCTCTCCCAGGTGTGGACCTGGGTTTTCTGGAGAATGAAAACACTGACAAAGCCGGTTCAGAACAATCCACTCTTGTTCTCAAGGAGGATGGACAAACCCACCAACAGCCTTCCCAGAATTCTGCTCTGAACCTTTTCCCGTTGAAGAATCAGACACCCAGTGTCCACGGGATAAGCCCAGAAGTGACAAGAAAGCTTTAAAAAAAGCCATTTTGGGGAGGGGAGAGAGAGGAAGGATTTTCTATGGGGAAACACACAAAGTTTGACTCTTTTGATCTGGAGTTGTGACTGGCAACCAAAAGAGCAGAATATTTACGACAAGCCTTCACTTCACACCAGGGGGCGAGGAGGGAGGGGAAGGGAGATAGGCAGGGGTGGCCCAGGGCTGCCTCACGGGGCAGCTCGTCACGCCCCACATGCTGGGCTCTGCTGTGCAGGATCCCCAGCTTCTTTGGGTTTGTGTGACAACTGTGAATTTGCTGGGAAAATTTCAGGGGAGATCACTCTTAGGGTCACCCAAGTCAAAGTAAAAAGGGAAATCAAGGGAGTCCGTTTCTCCCATCCCTGGGACTAGAAATAGGCCTCTCCCAGCTGGGGACACTGAGACCCCCCCACTTGCCTGTGCCCACTCTGGACATAGTGGACCTGTGGTCTGGACCCAGCACGGTGACCCCACGTACACTCTGAACTCCACATTCTCACGCCTCTGAACACTCGTCTGGTTGACAGAGCCAGGAACCAAACCCAGGACTCCGGTGCTAGCGCCTGCCTCTCAAGCACTGCAGCAGTCTGCCACGTGCTGGGACGGTGCCCGTCTCCAGGCCCCGGCCTCCTCACCTGGGCAGTGCAGCTGCCACTCACCATACTTGGCTGCTATCTCAAAGTCTCCAACGATGAGGCTACCTCCCTTCTCAGCATCTGTGGGATGAGACCAAGTGCCCCGTCTGCACCAGCCTTGCAGGAGCTGCAAAGCCCCTGTGGCCCCGAGGCTGGCACCCGGGGAGCCTGGAGAAGCAGAGGCAGGGCTGTGTCCTGGAGCCAGGCTGTGAGCAGGGCAGTGGCCCCAAGTGCACCGATCATGGCTTCTAAGGTGACACAGCTTGGGATGGGCAGGTCTTTCGTGCAAGACCATATGGGGGTGGTGAGCATGGTCAGGGACCTTAGAGGGACCCCCAGAGACAGCTCATATGGATCCCTGGACCCCAAAGATTGAGCAAATTCTTAATTTTAAGTTAAAAAAATAAAAACACAGAATTAGAAATGTTTCCTGAAGCTGTGGCCCTGAGCTCAATAATGGTATTCTAGTATTAATTTCCTGAGTGTGAAGAAAAAATCCTGTAAAAAAAAAACAAGGAGTGGTTAGGTCTTAAAACAAATGGGCAGAGCCTTTATGAGGTTCTTGAGGAGGGAACGGCCCCAGGCTTCTGCCATTCCCACGGAGGGAGGCACGAAGAGCTGTGTCCCCAGTTCTCAAAGATGGAGACTGTTTCTTCAACGCTCTCCAAAACTTCTATGTTTGAGAGACGGCCCCTGGGGTATCCCACACATTTATTTGGTATAAGGCAGCTACTCAATGTCTTGAAAAACGAAATCTCCTCCTGACTCTCCCTTGGCTTTGGGCATTTGTAAGTCAGCAAATGTCATCATTAGGGGTGGACTCCATTTCTGAGAACAGGTCCAAGCCATTCTTTCAGAGCCATGCGTGACCACAAAGGGCATCAGAACAGCTTCTCTGCCAGCCCAGCATCTCCTGAGGTCACCAGGGGAAGAGGTCGGTTCCCCAGGGAAAAGGCAGCCTGCAGCCAGAGTGAGGGACTCCAAACTGATGAGGGGATGCTGGGGCGGAGCCCTGCACAGACAACCCCAGAGGCTGGGGCCCCCAGCAGGCTGCCAGGCCAAGCTGGGGTGTGGTGGACCCTGGGCACCGCGATGTCTGCAGCTAGCAGCACAGTAAGGACAATATGGGTTAGTCTGTTCTAGCTTCAGCTAGGGGAGCCCGCAGGGCACAGGACAAGGAGTCACGAGGTCAGCTGTTGGTGGTGCCAGGGACCTTGTTCTGTGCCACAGAGAGGGGTAAGAGAGGTCCCCTTCCACCTGGACCCCCTCCACTGGCTGGCTGCCTTCCACACTGGGCCCAGCCAGTGGGGAGCCTCAGTGAGCCTGGTGATGCTGCAGGAGCGCTCGGGTCCCAGGGACCACAATCTGACATCATTGGTTTCTTCTGGAGGCCTTTTATTTACATTGATGTTCTTATCCTTAGCACAGGCAATGCATCTGATATTCTCAATCTATTCCATTAAAAAACTGGTCACGATCCACTGAAATGACTTCACAATGCTCTCAAGAGTTTCTACCCTGATTTTGAACACCATCAGCCTCGGCAAACTCCTAGTATCATCTTCTGCCCTGACTGCACTCATGGGGCATGAAGGAGCCAGTGAGATTCCATACACTCCTAAGGGTGATTTGTGGCGTGGGCTGACTCCTCCCCATGCCAGCCTGGACGCCAGCTGGGGATAGCCAGCCACGTGGCTGCATCACCAACAGTTTCCTCAGCCAGAACTCGGGCTGAGGCAGGAACAGCTGAGGGTTTGAGTTACACAGGTGAGTCAGCTCTGCCTCAGAGCAGAATAAATCAACAAGTCACTGTTCCCGCACTGACAATGGAACTTCACCAAGTGGCTCAAAGAACTGACTTATTTATATAAGGGGGGCTTATTACTTCCTATTTGGACAAGAGGCTTGCCCCCTAAGTCTAGTTCTCTTGCCCTGAGGGTGACTGACAACAGTTACTCCTGCCGAGGCTCCTGCCCGGGTGAGCCCAGACTCAAGGTCCTGCCACAGCCCAACTGGGCCCCACCCTTACCTATGAGGCCAACATTTGCTGCAAGGTCATAATAGTAGGAAAAAGCATAGAAATCCACGTCCTTCACTTCTGCCACTCTGTGCACTTGATTCCGAAGGATTTCCGACACTCTGCTGGCGCACAGCTCGTGGAGGTTCACTGCTGGGCAGAGGAAAAGCAGGAAGCCAGCGGTCAGTGGGCTCCGAGCACCGGGCCATGCAGCCCCTGGGGCCTTTCCCAGTGACTCGAGATCCTGGCCTGGAGGGTGAGGTGGGACAAGAAGCCTGCAGAGATCTTGCCCCAAGTCAGGAGGCTCACCAGCCCCACGCACGTCAACAGCAACCCTTCAGGAGCCATGGCATTGCTGACCCAGGTCAAGGGAGAGAATCCCCACGCATGCAGGAGCTGGGGAGCACGGCCCCAAGCCTGAAGGACACAAGCCCCAGCCAGGCTCAGCAGCTGTCCTGACACAGGCCAGTGGCTCAAGTTTGCACTGTCCACCCCACACTTGCCCTGTCAGCCTTGACACGCACGGCTGTGTCTTGCTCCATCTTGTGAGCCACCTTAGGGGTGGGGCCTAGACCCTCTTTATGTCACAGATGAGGAAACAGGCCTAGCAAGCAGCTTCCCAAGCTCACAGGGCAGGTCATTAACTCCTTGCTTGGAAGGAGACCACCACAGGCCCTAAAGGTTAACGGACATGGATGTCCCACAGCCCACACCTCAAGCTTCCCATCTTACCCTAAGACCTCCCAGCTGTCTGCTGACAGCTCCATCCAGGTCTCACCATGGCCTAGAGCAAGGACTTTCCCTTCGGACCTCATTTCCCTCCACTCTCCCTTGTCAGACCAGTCACACACTTCCTCCTTGTTCCTTAAACACAGCAGCTGCCTCAGGGCCTTTGCACGTGCTGCTCTCACAGCTTAGAGAGCTGCTGCTTTATATCTGAGTGGCCCATTCCAAATCTCTTCATGTCTTGGCTCAGATATCACCCCATGAGGCCTTCCTAGGCCGTCCTATTTAAAACTGCAATCTCCCCCTCAGAACCTCCTCTTCCCCTTGTTTTATTTTTCTTCAAAGCACTTTCTCATGTGTTTTACTGTCTGACTCCTCCCCCTAGAATGTTAGCTGCACATGGGCGCAGATCTTGTCTGCACCATGCACTGCTGTGCGCCCAGTGCCTGTGGCAGGGCCTGGCACACGGCACATGTACCAGGGGTGACTGAGTCAGTGACCTGCAGGGTCATGGATAATGAGAAACATACATTCTGTCTGTTCCTGGATCCTGACACAGAGCTTCTAAAACCCCTGGAACTTCCTGAGTGATGAGAGTGAGAGGGACTTCTGTTATTCATAATAAGGCCCTTTATAATAATATAATAAGCGTACTTGAGTTTATGCTAACGAGGTGAGTCTTCCTGGGTCCCTTGATGACTTGAGAATGGGTGCTGGTTATCAGAGGAACTAGCCTTGTGCTCAGAGGGTTAGAACTTTCAGCCCCATCCCTGAACCTCCCAGGAGGGGATGGAGTTAATCACCACTGGCCAGTGATTTAATTAATCATGCCTACGTAATGAACCTCCATAAAACCCCCACTGGATGGGATTCAGAGAGCTTCCGGGTTGGTGAACTTGTGGAGATGCTGGGAGGTGGCGTGCCGAGAGAGGGCGTGGAAGCTCCGTGCCCCTTCCCCACACCTTGTTCTGCGTACCTCCTCCATCTGGCTGTTCGTGAGTTGCAGCCTTTATCAGAAACCAGTAAGTGTTTCCCTGAGTTCTGTGAGCTGTTCTAGCCAGTTATGGAATCTGAGGAGGGGCTCGTGGGAACCCCGGATTTGTGGCCAAGTTAGAGGTGTGAGCACCCTGGGGACTCACTGCTTGAGATTGGCGTCTGCAGTGGGGGCAGTCTTGTGGGGCTGAGCCCTCAGCCCGTGGGGTCTGCACTAACTCCACGCAGTCAGTGTCAGAACAGAAGTGCTGGTGGAGGGAAATCCCCACACATTTAGTGTTGTGAGTAGAGACAGCTCTGTCACGACAGGCAGACAAACCTCATGCCCGTGTGCCCAGCCTGGAAACAATATTTCAATTTTCCTTTTAGAAGAAAGTAAAAGAGCACAGAGCAACAAAAACCGCATGGGGTGAGAGGGCCAGGCAGGTGGGACAGTATGCCACTGTCAAGGGGAGCAGCCCTCCTGTCTGCTCAGTCGGGAGGGAGGCCAACTCTGCCCGAGGGGAAGCCATTTCTCGCTCTCCCAAGGTGCCCTCAGAGCTGCTGGCCCATAGCCTGGGTCTGGCTGTCCATCTCAGAGCTGAGGGACGCGCAGGTCCTTCCTCACTGGAGGCTTGTTAGGAAGTCCGGTCCTTTGGAAGAAAGCTTTTGGCAGCAGACAAGGAAGCCTTGTGCAGAGACCCCGCGGGAGCCGGCAGTTCCCAGCACGCTGGCGAGGGCCTCCTGGAGCCCTGGTGAGGCCGGCAGGGCAGCTTCCATTTTGTGGCCAAGTACGGGCTCGTCTGTGACAGAGGTTTGGCAGTAGCCTCCCTGCTTCTCAGAGGCATGTGGAAAGCCCAGGGGAGGGGGCAGGCTGTCATTCTTAACTCTCAGAAACCACAGGCAAACGATAAATCTGCCATACCTGCCTTCTGTCCTGAGATTCTGTATGTTATTTCAGCATGTTCCCACTCTCCTTTGAAACTGGGAGACAGGCAAGGGCTGACCAACTCCTTTCCATCCGCAGCTGAAATCAAAAAAAACGGAAAGAAAACAAAGGCGCGTTACCATGGTGAGACTGCCGTGCATGGCGCTGGGACCCGGGTTCCTCTGCGGGGAGGCCTGGAGCACAGAGAGCGCTTCACGTCGCTAATGGAGGCCTCAGAAGGACAAGGGAAGACGCTTCCTTTTTGCCAGATGAGACCTGATTCATGGAAGTGTTCTAGGTCAGCTGCGGGGCAAGGCCCGTCTCTATCACAGCAGCTGCAGCAAAGCCCCATCTGCCTAGAAACATGGCCACTTCCAGCTCCCGTTCACGGAGGGGCTTTGAGGCTTCAGGCACCAGGCCAAGCACTCTTCAGTCCAGTCATAACGATCCTAACAGCAGAGGAGTTATCACCACCCAATTTTACAGATTGAGGCTGCGAGTCAGCTGGCATGGCCAGGATGATGCCACCAAGTACCACCATGCCACGAATCTGTGCTGCTCTGGCTCCACGAGGCCACCCCTCGAGGCCGTGCATGCTGAGAAGCACGTCAGCTTCTCCTCCTGAAAAGGGGTCCCTGTCCCAGCCCTTGATTCTGGCCTAGGCCTGCTTCATAGACAGAACGTGCAGGACATGACATCATGTGACGTGGAGCAGCCTTCCTCTGAGTTACCAGGGAGAAGTGCTGGCTGCTCTGCTGTGGGGAGAGGCCACGGGGAGGGGCACCGAGGCACGGACATCCAGCCCAGCCACCCCAACTGCCACCACACGAGGCCCCAGGGACCCCAGTAGAGGAGGCGCCCAGCTGAAGCCTGTGGAATCACGAGATATAATAAATGACTGTTGTTTGTTGCTTCCAACCACTCAGTTTGGTGGGCAATCTGTTGTGAAACAAGAGACAACACAACAGGGAGATGGCTCCTCTGTGGCAGGGAGCGGTTTGCGTCCCGCTTGGCAGGCATCATGGCCCCAGGTGTCCCAGTCGGGCACTCTCAGCCTAGCTGTGGATGGGCAAGCAGGTGCCTGCCTTCTCCTTGTTGGCTAACCAGGTGTTTTTTGGCCCCAGAGTTAGGGTTGCAAGTGTTTCTGAGACGTGGACATGTTTGGTTTGCAACAAGGGGGATACCACTTTGAGGTTAAACATCAGGATTTGAAAGAAAAATGGAAATAGGATGTACCTGGAAAAATGAAATTTCCAGCTGAACACTCCCACCCTGTCAGAACAACCAGACCCTTGGAGAGGTGGGCAGAGAGCTGGGCCTGGGGAGGGGAGGGCATGCGGCCGGAGAAAGCACGTGCACATCCCTGGACAAGAGGCACGGGATGAGGCCTTTGGGCCCCAGTCGACACCATGGGAGAGGTAGGCAGTGCCAGCCTCAGAACAGTGTCCCCTACTCCCCAAGTGGGATGCGGCGATGCCCTAAGATCCCCTATGAGTTCATGTGCACTGCGGCCAAGGCCAGGCTTCTCCTCAGGCAGCCTGTCAGGGAGGAGCAGAGAAGGCCTGGGAGCAAAGACACCTCTAATAACCTCTCCAGACACAGACTCCACCTCCAGTCAAACGCCAGGTCTGCAGGAGGGGCCCAGCCCGTGTTTTATGACCGTGCACAGAGCAAGAGAAAACGGCGCAATGTCCTTGCAAGGACAGCATCATTGTGAATAAGAGAAAAACTCCCCCAGACCCGTGGCACCTGCCCCAGAGTTGCCTCCTCACAGCTCCTTCGTGGGCTGTCCTGAAGAACAAGGCCATCTCTTCAAATCCTTAAAAACAAGTCGACTCCAAGTGCAGGTGACGACTGCACAGGTACTTGGGTTTCTGAAACCCCCTTGGTCAGCGCTGCAGGAGGGACTTCACCAGCATTTCTTCCCTCTGACAATACCTTAGAATGTACACAGGAACACTCTCACGCTCCGTCAACGTCAGGTGCCCCCCGACAATGTCTAGGGCCCGTCCACACTCAGCCCTCCTGGGCCTCGAGTCCTGCTGGCGCATCAGGCAGGCCAGGGGCCAGCCGCTGCGCTGACGGTGGGGGGCAGGGAGGAGCAGAAGCCCCTCCCCCAAAGGACTCCTCAGGCCTGCAGAGCAAGGAGGGCCCGGGACCCACATCCACTCACCAGGCGTCCCCTCCACGCCGCCCAGAATCGCCAGCCGTGCAGACATCAATCCGAGCCCCAGGTAGCTGTGGAGAGAAGGCCGGGTGAGGGGCTGGCTGCCATGGGAAGCCCTGGGCGCTGTCCTCCATCGCCTGGTCTGGGTCCAAAATGAGTGGGAAACGAGGACACTTGTGGAAAGGCAGTTAGCGGCTCTCCTGCTTCTTCGAGAGGCCTCTTTGTGGAGCTCAGGGCGTTCAGCTAGTCAGTTCAACAAATGAAGCCCCGTGACTCGACAGGAGCTTGTCTAGGAGCTGTGGACGCTGGTGAATGCGACAGGCTTGACCTCGATATTTATGGTGCACGTGTGCTTTACAGAGAGTCCAACGAAGGTGCCACATGGCAAACAGATGCCCCCAAAATTCCTGCACCACAGCTCTTCCCCAATTTTCTAAAGCCTCCTCCAAAGCAGAACAGAATGAGCACCAAAGAAATGTAATTTTACTGCAGGTGAACCAAAAAACAAAGGCAGGAGGAGGAAGGAGGGAGGAGGAGGAGGAGGAGGAGGGGAGGAGGAGGGGGAGGAGGAGGAGGAGGAGGGGCTCCAGGTGGGCCCACAGCAGAGGTTTCTGTGGACTCTGGTCACCCCACTAGGCAGGCATCAGAGGCAAGGGGTGCGTGCACTGCTTGCTGAGCTGTGTGTGAGGAGAGTCACCTCCCTACCCTCACTCCCGGACACCAACCTGTAGGAATAGAGCTTGTAGGTCCTGTTAAACATCTGGAGCGAGGTCAGATGGCCAGGGGGGGAGGTATGAAGGGTGCCCTGCGGAAGAACATGATGGTTACCATCTTTCCTATTTGTCCCCCACTCCCTCAATTCATTTGAAAGAAAATGGATATGCACAGATGTATTCAATTAAATTAGCTTTCCATTGAGGCATGTATTGTGAAAGAGCTTGGAGCAAGCAATGAAAAATAAAATGTCCAAATGAACAACCACTTTTTTCCTCCTTATGAGTAATATTTACCCATTCTGACAAATACGGCCCAACCCAGACAATTATGAGTAAACTTAAGTGCTCTTCCATTTAAAACTAAAAATAATAAAAAAAAGTGGTGGGTGAGGAAGGTACTGTTTTAACGCAGTGATGGCTCTAAGTGGAAGCATTTCTGACAGCTTTAGAAACTGCATCCGGCAAAGGGGCAGCTTGCCCTCCGCTGTGAGTCAGACTAACCAGGCCCTTCCTGGAAGCTCTCAGGGAGGGCGGCCCCCTTCACATTCTCTGCTCTAAAGGGTTCCAGGCATCATCTAATTTATCACCCCACTGAACACAATTTTTTTTCCAGGCAGAGTTAAAATCACACTAAGAAGCGTTACCTGTGACTGACCCTGGCCCTCAGGAGAACTACTGAGCACAAAGCCCGAGGCACCAGGTCTATGGGCCTCCCCCTCCCCGGAAAGCTGGGGCTCACCGCCCCCCAACCCCAGCACATCCCCTACGGAGCAGGCGGCCTTGGAGGGTGGGGGCGGTGGGTCAGCAGGGGCTGGTTACCTCGACTCTGGGAAGGAAGGTGATCTGAGTGGACCCTCCGCCCAGATCCAGCATGCCCACACTGCTCCTTCCCGGGGTCTCCAAACTGCCTGGAGCACAGTGAGTAAAGCGAACACAGCACTGTCGCGTTAGTAAACAGATGAGAGCAGCAGAAAAAGCAGAGGTTAGATGCCAGTGGAAAGAAAAACAAGATGGAGAAGGAGCTGTAGCTATTTAAAACTCTCCACGTAAGGATGCACTATTTGTCTAAGGGACACACACGGTGGCTCCACCAGCTGTGGCTTTGATGTGAAGAGTGACAGGACCACACTGACCTTCAGCAGAGATGCGGGGCCTGCCATCTCTACCACTCCCCTCTCAGAGATGCTGACTTCTTTGAAACTCCTTCAGGCCCTGAGGCTGGCCTCCCCCCACCTCGCCCAGGAGAGCCCATGTGGCCCTCCAGCCCCAAGGGGCTAATGCTGCCAGGAAGCTTCTTTCTTCTTCATACACATGTCAGACACATTGATCCTTTCCATAATTACAAGGGACAAAAATCCACATGCACTGAGACAACCTAAGAAAATGCTCCTTGCCACCTGTTTCCCAGAGCCGCTGCTTCTGTTCCCTGCGCAGCAGAGGAATTCAGTTACAGGCGATCAACATTCACATCATCACACTTAACATGTGAAGACACAGCTAGTTTTACTCAGGACTTCTCTCAGAAATGAAAGGACAGGGTCCCTGGTAGATGCCGCATAGGAGGGGCAGGAGCCCTGTTGGCAAAAAGTCCCAGGGCTGCAGAGAGGCAGCCGCTCTGAGCATTCACACCCGCAGGCGTGATGCTCGCCCCGCGAGCCGGGTGTACTCCCCCACCCATCCCAGCACCCTACTGCGGGCCAGCAACACTGTGAAACCCCAAGGGGTTATTTTAAAGAGTAGACACAAGGCAGGAATGGCATCTGTGAACTGTTAGCCTTTACAATGAAGTCAACGTACCTGTCAGGAAGTTGATGGTGATCCAGGCTGAAACACCTACAAGAGAGGGTCACAAAGAGCATGTGAATCACTTGAGATGCTGTTAACAACACACAAGACTCAAACGACTACTTTCAGATTTCAAGAGCACCAAGGGAACACGACCTCACTAGTCTCAGCCTTCAGACCAGCTACGGAAAGGAGCCTTATTCAGAACGTCATCCAGCAGCTTCTGCAGACTGTTCTAGAAAATACCATACTAAACAACTAAAATACTCTGCCAAGTGTCATATCTCTCCCTCCTATTCCTTATCATCAACTTCTGTTTGGAAGTGGTAGGAAGAGAACTGAATGTTCCCTCCTTCTTCCCCGATACAAACCCTTCAGGTTGTATTTAAAATCAGGGGCTGGTGAGGAACCTGATTAAGTGTCTCTCTCTTAGAATTAACAATGCAACAGCAACATTCTAAACATGGTAGCAACTGGGGATTCTCTCTAAATGTTCTTAAAACTGAAAAAACGTTTTCAGAAACTCCACCTGCGCCACGTTTGAAGCCAGTCAAGAGGAGAACTGTCTCTAATACGGGCACTAAGAAGACCCTCGGAGACAGTGAAATTGTGAATTAGAATGGGCCCGTCACTTCAGGTCTTGCTCACCCCAGTGTCTGACCAGGAGAAAGCTCCCGCTCAGAACGCTGACAGAGCCCTGCACACAGCGGCCTCACCAGGCCAGCCTCATCGCACAGAGAGCTTCTGGCAACTCTACCTTCGTCTGTTCCGTTCATGATGGACACACAGTCATCCCCCACAAGGAAAGGCGACGCCTTAAACACCTCTTTCACCTAAATGTAAAGAGACACACGTCTTATCCTTTAGAATCCCACACTTGGTGCCCAATCACGCTGTGTCAGCAGCAGTAACAAACACCAGAGGCTGCCAGCTGGTGCTGCAAAGCGACGAAGCTCAGGTTTTGTTTTAAGCTTCCCTAATCCTCTGCAAGCGGTTTCCATGTGAATCTACTCCCGGGCTAGCTGAGGTGGGTGCTGCCCTAAGAGCCCTATCTTAAGTGACTCTGGACTTGATGAACCTGCTGGGCCCCAAAATGCTGCCCAGCTTTAAGGACGGAGATGAAGGGGAGGAAGCCCCAGGAGGTGGAGCTCAGACCTGGGACCTCAGTAGGCCTGGTGGGCACTGCTCCCTGGAGATGGCAGTGGAAGGAGAGACGGCAGTAAGCAGCTGCTTTGGGTGGACTTCCTTCTCCATGTTTTACCAAGTATGATACAGAGAAATTTCAGTGCCTCCGATACCCTGCTCACATGTGCCCATAATCCGACCTGAGTCAAGGTAGTTTTTATAAGGGACCTTACAGATGTGCAGCAACCCATCATTTAGCAGCTAAATAGTTGAGACGCAGTGTAGAGGATGAGGAGGACTGTTTTGCTTAAAACAGTTTCCCTAACGTGCCTGATGAGAAGAACCCTCCAAGCACCTGCTGAAGACAGGTTCCTGGGCCCCCGGGGGTGATACAGGGCCCGGGACACCTGGCAATGTGGGAGCTGGACCTGGGCAGCAGAACACTAAAGGGCCTTCTCAATAGTTACATCTGAGCATCACACCAAGAGAGGACTAGCGGTTCCCAAGAGCACAAGCTGGCCTGAGCCGGAATGCCAGGGATCCAGCTCCCACAGCCTTGGACACACAGTGAGCCCTGGTGGAAGAGCGCCCTTCCAAGGCACAATGTATTTTTAAAATACACTTTTTATTGTAAAACACAGCTTCACTCTATAAGCACGAATAGCTTTAAATGAAGAAAACATCATTCAGTCACAATCCCTCCCCTAAAGGTGATGCTGTTAACACTTCGATGCGTCTCCCTCTTCAGGAAGCTTCTATGTAGCCTGATTGCTCCAAAACCGGCTGAATATTTAGTGTTTTCATAAGGCACCCTCCAAGGGGGAAATGGGTAAAATCACCTTTTCCAATAACTTCTGAGCCTTTTCTCCTGGTAACAGGCGTAAACCAGCTGTGGCCTTGAGGACCAAGGGCGTGGCCTTCCAGAAGTCAAAAGGAATGTCTTGTTTAGCAACATCCAGCAATTCCTGAATCCCCGGAGTGCTCTGTGTGGTACAAGTAAAGCAGGGTCTGTCAGAGCTCAGCATACAGGAGCAAGGATGCTCCCCTGACCCTTTTGGTTTCATTAATTTATAAATGTATTTTTTTTCTAATTTTCCAAATCAGCAGAAAACAGTGACTTAAGTGGTGCTGGTGGGGGTGTGGGGCCCAGGGACCAGGTAAACATGGAGACTTGCCCTCAGCAGCAGAGCATGGTGGGGTGAGGACACACGAGAGGGGCTCCTGGTGTGCTACCACGCTTGCAACCAAAACCCCAGCTGGCCCCGTCACCCACCTCACTGGGTGACTTCAGACGAGTCGCGACTCCCCTGGAGATCATGAATGAATTCTGGGTTCCCTCATAGTGCTAAAACCCCAGGAATAACTACATCGAGGAATCACTGAGGTCCAAAAGTCGGATAAGGGCCTGTGTTAGTGGGGGGTGGGGGGGAACCTTGGTAGAGGACCTCTGAGCCTCTTAGTAGGTACAATGCCACAGGGGCAGTCTGTAATGCCTGTCCACAGGGAAAACACATTCCTCTCACTCAGAAATCCCACTCTAAGAATTCATTCGAGAGACACCCTTGCACGAGGGGGTCACCAACTGCATATAAAGCGACAAACCTCAGCTTTTCTTATACTGTTAAGATCAAAAGATTGGACATTATCTAAATGTCCTTCAGGAGGGAACTGGGTCTGTAAATTCAATGTGCATGCATACACTACAATACCATTCAGCCAGAAAAATCAAGCAAGTTCTTCATACCCTGACAGTAAATGATCTGCAAAAGCAAAGCGGAGAACAAATTAATGCCATCCTACTGTGTCTGTAAAATAAAGAGGGGAGAGGAACACAGATCCACTTGCTCATGGACACCGAAACCTGCTCTTGAAGGACACGTATGAAACCGGGGGAGACTAGAGGTGGAGGGCAGTTTTTGCTGTCTGCCCTGGGAAGCAGGGAAATTTGTCCCACTTGAATTTGTGCTGCCTACTCAAACAAATTAAGATTTAAAAAGCTCGATGAGTTTGCTGTAAAGACATCTAATTTAATTAGGTCTAATTTTATGGTCACTCTAGAATCACTAATTTTGATTTTTTTCAATTTGTTTACTAAGCTACAGGAAAGCCAGGCTAGGACTTCACTGTCTGAGATCAGGACACACCTGTGGGCAAGAATCCCGTATTAGCTTTTGATTCAAGACATGCCTGAACTAAAAGGAACTTACAGCTGTATTTGTGACAGTTTCATGAGTGCCTTAGTGGAAATACAGGTGTCCGTATTCATGCAGTGATAAGCTTTAAGGGCTTTAGAAGCAGAAATGCTACAAACTTACCAAAACAATTATTTGACAGTTTAATTAAATTTCTTTTACACTTATTTGGTTTTTTGGATTTTGCATAATACGCTTTTAACTTTAATATTTTGTTTTAGTCAATTTTTGTCATCTTCAGTCAGAGGAACTAAAACAAAAAAAAGTATTAAACTTTCAAATAATGCTTTTTGTAAGTTTGCAGCATTTGTGCTTTTGAAACACACCAAGACTGATGGGTGGCACACGTGCTGCTTGGCAGAGGGTGGTCAGGGTGTGTGGGGGGCATGGGGGAGGGGCGGGGGGCAGTGGTCCTCCTGTGGCTTCTCCCTCTACCAGCTTCCTCATCGGGCCACCCTGCACAGTACGACAGGCCGCAGGTCAGCACCATCAGAGTCCACTCCATCCGAGAGAAGGGAGCTGCTTTAACGAGCTGCACAGTTAGAAGGCAAATCTGATGCACTAACAGACATGAGAAAGTCGTCACCTTTTCAACGTCATCAGCATAAGCAGAAAGACCAGGCTTCAGTGCTTTGAAGGTTTCATGGGTCAAGGTGGGAGTTCCTAAGGGAAAAAACATGTTTCAAAAAGGGTAAAAAGGGTACAGTTATGAATATATACACGAATATACGAATCTATACAACTAGGACTGGCCGCACTTTTCAAAGGCAGACATCTGAAAACAGACCAATCCCAGAGGGACAGGACCCCTTCACTGCTTCTCATCTAAATCCTGCCTCTTTAGCGCAGCTAAACGAGATGAATATTATACTTAACGATTGGCCAGAACTTTACTTTTTAAAAAACATCAACTTTATAGAGGTGTAATTTACGTACAAAAAACTATCCCTTTAAAGTATTAAATTTTCACATAGTTAATTCTTGCTGATTCAACCAACAGAGGATCAGGGCAGATGATTCCAAACTGCAAACAGGAAAGTCATTTCCTTGATTCTAGGATGGATGCATATCAGTTTTAAATAATACTTTTCTGTTTCTTTTTTAAAAATTTAATTTTTAAATAATTAGGAGCCTGGGCTCATGTACATACAGCAAGGGAGAGAGTTCAGAGGCACATGGTGCCAAGGGATGCTGGTCTGAACTCAGACACGAAGACTCGTGAAGAGAAATCGGGATAAAACTTTTTGCAAGGACTTCTCTCCAAAGATAAAACACTGGAATATGGCTATTAAAGCATCACATGTGGACATGTGTTGTCTTAAACTTAGCTTCAAAACCATTTTGGAGGTAGGTAGGTCCAGCATAAAAATATTTAACTATTTAATAAGTTTAAAAATAAAGCAGATGAAAATAAAACATGCCATGACAGCTTCGGAGAGAGCTACTAAAAGTGTCTGGTGCCACCAGCTCAGTTAAATGCCCAGAATGGTGTCAACTCAAAAGGTATCAAGGGTCAGCAAAGAACCAGAGAAGAGGGAACACCAGCCATAGCAGTGGGCCTGCTGAGCAGCTGGCAGAAACCACTTGCTGGTTGGAGGCTGGAGAGGCGATCCTCAGAGTCGATGGGCACAAAAGAGAGGCTGGGGAAGAGGTCAAAGGGAGTAGGAACAGGGTGAGAGCTGAGCAGGGATGGGGGTGTCCCCACAGGAGAAGCCAGCAGGTGAAGATGCCCAAACTCTCACCCTGGGAAGCAAAGCTGACGGGTTCTGGCTCTAGCTCCCTGCTCACTGTTGAGGCCACTCTCGTCTGTCACTCCCCTCGCTGCCTGGCCCCACTGTGCAGCTCCGCGTCAGCCTGGGCTCCGGGTTGTTGGTAATTTATCGGCCTTTCCTGGACTCCTGGCTCCCACTGGCTTGAATGTGGGGTTACTTCCTGCCTTAAACTAACCCAACTTGACTTCTGGCCTAAGTTATGGTCCCAGCCACCTGACCTGAAAGAGAACGCTGGGAGGGGACAGGCCACCAAACACCCTCTGGGATCTTAGCTGCCCTTAGGTGGTCACCAGCAACTAGTGCGAGTAAGGACAACCTGGGACCCCTGGGAAATTTGGATTCCTGGGCCCCAACCCACACCCTGAGCCAGTATCTCTGAGAAACTGCATATTTGACAAGCTCCCAGGTAAGTCCAGCCCACACCCTGAGAAACCATTGTCTTCAGGGGGAGGAGGTCCCAAGAGCTCTGCTGTGAGATGGAAAGAGATGGCACGGCCAGGGCTTTCGGCCCTGGGATACCTCTGGGCTGCCTGGTGAACTGGAAGACGTGCACTCGGGTGCCAGTGCTTCCTGCGTCAAACATGATGCCGTAGAAGACCTCGTGACCACGTGCAGCCGTTCCCAGGGCAGTGCGGGCCTGCTGGCCCCTCCGGGCCCCTGTGGCCACCTCGGTGATGCTGAAGAAGGCCTGAGTGGCGGAGGCCCAGTGCCACTTGATGTAGGCAACATAGATGAACAGGCTCACAAGCAGTCCCAGGGGGTACGCCACCTTCGTCATCTTCAGGTTGCCATTACTTGGTATTTTTCTCATTTCTTTGTGTGCTGAGAACTGTGCCACAGCTGCTGGTGGAAACGGAGGAGAGGCAGGAAAACACAGTAGGCTTCGAGGTTCCCGGGCAAGTGAGAAATCCCTGCTCTGAGGGACAAAAGGCTCAATTAGAAACCAGTCTGCATTCTTTCCTCTGGAATCAGAAGCTTCATCTGATCCTCAAAATGACTCTGGAAGGTGTGACCCCATTTTACAGAGGAGGAACCGAGGTTTATCAAGACCAGGTAACCTGTCCAAGGTTGCCCGTCCTGCAGCTGCCAACTGGGCACAGCCCCCAGCCTGAGCTGGCTCCCCTCTAAGGGCTGTTCCAGACAAACTGCTCTGGACTCGCTGCTATTGTAAAAGCCACGTGTAAGTATGTCCCCACCCCTTTCAAGCTATCAGAAACATGTATCCAACCCATTCTTTCAATTCTCACTTTTCTTCCCATATAGGTAATTTACTTTTCAAAAGGTTTAAAATCCTCCCCCTTGGGAACTACAGAAGGACCCAGACAAATCTGAGAAATGCGGCTCACTTTCCGGGAAGTTCCACAGCAGGTACCTCTTTTCATTCATACAGCACATTCCTGTCAAGGAGGAAATTATGCCCGCGTGCTCTCAACGTCTATAAAAATGCTACCCAGGTAGCAAACTAAATTAATTCAGCACCATTATTTTTGGTTCAATTGTTCAAGCTTTATTAGCAGCTTCTAGTGCAAGGCACCGTGTGGGAAGTTGAGGCTTCAGAGGAGCAGAACCAAAATGCCTGGTTTTCAGGGCCACCCCCACCCTCAGGAAAGGTCCACCCTTCCCTCTCTCAGTCACAGCAAGTGGAGTGGACACCCCTGGGGGAAGGAGACAGGGAGTGCTGCGCTGAAAGCAGGACGTGGGTGCCGGCTCCACCCGCAGCAGTGTGTGACCCTGGGCAAGCCACCCTTCACAGGAGGCTGTTCTTCCTCAGCCGGAAGGCAGGGCCGCTCACAGGAAAGCTGCCTCACGCTGCTGTCTGCTGTGCGATGTGTTGAGAATGGACACATACTGAATGCTGGCTTTACAGACGGGCAGCAAGAGGTAATGTCTCCTGACCAGGAATGGTGATGGACAGGTGTGCTGGAGGAGAGCAACTGCACTGTCTGGGAAAGCGAAAAGTGGGGGCCAGGGCTAGAAATGCAGGGGGCAAGGCTGTGGTGGCCTCCGTGTCAACCATGAGGCTGTCTGGATGGACGGGAAATGGGACCAAAGTGGCCCTTGGTGGGGGAGCACAGAGTTGAGGTCATCTGTGGTCCCTCCTTTCTGGTCTTGCCCTGCAGCCATACCTGGATGCCTTTAGGCCCCCAGAGCTCATGTCAGACCAGCACTGTTTAAACCCATGGCTTCCTCTGTGCCTCTGCCTAGGGGAGAGGACTCCCCAGTGCCCCGCCACTCAAGCTTGGGCAGGGGGCAGGAGAAATCACCCCTCTCTGAGCATCCAGCACATGCAGGGCTGTGGGAAAGGCTCTTTTTTTTTCTTTTGAGGAAGATCAGCCCTGAGCTAACTGCTGCCAATCCTCCTCTTCTTTTTTGCTGAGGAAGGCTGTCCCTGAGCTAACATCCATGCCCATCTTCCTCTACTTTATACGTGGGACGCCTGCCATGGCTTTTTGCCAAGCAGTGCCATGTCTGCACCCAGGATCTGAACCGGTGAACCCCGGGCTGCGGAGAAGAGGAACGTGCGAACTTAACCACTGCGCCACCGGGCTGGCCCTGGAAAGGCTCTCTTGACAGGAGCCAAGGAGCAAGTTCCCCTCCCCAGGCGCTGCTCCTACCTGACTTTGGGCCTTTCTTGGGTCTTACTGCACTTGGGAGCTTCCCACTGCTCTCAGAATCACCTTGTACCCCTGCCAGGGCCCGGGCCCTATCAGCCTCTGAAGCTTCATCTCACACCTCTCTTGCCCTTGCTCACAGCGCTCCAAGAACCCAGCGCCTCCCTCAGTCCCTAGAACACAGCTCTTCCCTGCCTCAGGCCCTTTGCGCACAGTTACCATTCCCTAGAATGCTCATCCACCAACCTGGCGTCCTTGTCCTTGTCCCTAAGCCTCAGCTGAAATGTTATTGTCCCCACCTTCTCCACTACCCACAACTTAAACAGCCCCACCACTGTCACGCTGTCTCTGAGCTCCTTGCCTCCTTCTGACGTAGCACCACCATAATCTATAATGATGACGGTGTTTGTGGGATTAGTTCCTGAAAATCAGTGTCCCTGTAGGGCATGAGCCCCGAGGGCAGGAACTTCGCCTGTCTTGTGCCACTGCAGCCCAGCTGGAACACAGGCTCTTATCCCGAAGGGCGGAGGGCACTCCTCCACCCCATCCGCCTTCCATACCGTCACCACACACACAAAATGGCCCTATTTAAAATCCTTTAACGGGGAGAGGACATCAGCAAGACGGTGGAATAGGGAACTCTAGGCCCTTGTTTTCCCATGGAAATATTGAAAAAAAAAAAAAGGAACTGGCTAGAATATTTCATGGGAGTTCTGAAAAACAAAGGTTTACAGCCACCAAGCAAATGCCCATTCAAGTAAAAGTCACATCCAGGATAGCAGGACGTTTTGTGGGTTCACTCACCCCTGCCCAACTCCCTCCTGTGAGAAACAGTCTGAAAGCAGCAGCAGCCCAGCTCCTAGTCCCTTCCCTCAGACAGGAGGGAGCAGAGCAGACCTCTGGCAACATCCTGACCAGCCCCGGGGCTGCCTGAGGCACAGGTCCCCGTCTTGCCTGACTCAGAGCTCAGAGCTCAGAGCTCAGGTGGGGGTGAAGCTGTGGAAAGCAAGAGTGAAAACCAGGGGGACTGCAGACCCACACACACCTGGGGCGAGAGGCTGGGGGCGGGGGAGATACAACAGAACATCTAAGGACCAAGGAGGAGTTTGGGTGAGACTCCTTGGGAAATTAACACATTTAAAAGCAGATGTGTAAATGGGAAGATTGAAAACAGCACATACACATGCCCAGGAAAGACACATGCTCAGAAAAACCCTGAGCAAACCTTAAGCCTTCACCCTGGGCTGACCCCAAGGCTCAGACACATCCTGCTAATTAGTGCAGGTCTTACATGTCACAGAGCCAGCATGCAAAGACTGGGAGAGGTGGCTCTTTAAAAAAAAAAATCATAAGGCATACAAAGAAATAGGAAAACATGGTCTATTCGATGGAAGAAAAAGTGGTAGAAACCGTCTGTGAAGAAATAAAGGCAAAGGATGTATCAGATAAAGACTTTTAAACAACTGCCTGAAATATGCTGAAAGAGCTAAAGGAAAACACAAAGAACTAAAAGAAATCAGGAATGCGATATACAAAACGAGCATATCAACAAAGAGACAGAAATTGTAAAAAGGAACCACGCAGAAATTGTGGAGATGAAAAATACAATAACTGAATTGAAAAATTCACTAGAGGGGTTCAATCGCAGGTTTCCTTTTTATTGAGCTCACCATATTTTATATATATATATAACATTAGATAAGTTCCATGTGCACAACATTGTAATTCGACTTCTGTATATACTATAGTGCACTCACCGCCAAAAACAAGTTTCTATCTGTCACCTTAAAATTGACCACCTTTATGCATTTCCATTCTGCCTTCTCCTCACCCCCCTTCCCCTCTGGTAACCACCAATCTCTTCTCTATATCTATGTGTTTATTGTTGTTTTGTTTTGTTTGTATGTTTTTTATTTTTTGTTAATCTTCCAAATATGACTGAAATCATAGGTTGTTGCCTTTCTTTTCCTGACTTATTTCACTTAGCATAATACCCTCAAAGTCTATCCATGTTGTTGAGAATGGGACAATTTTGTCTTTTTATGGCTGAGTAGTATTCCATTCTATATACATATACCAGATCATCTTTATCCATTCATCAGTTGATGGGCACTCGGGTTGCTTCCATGTCTTGGCTATTGTGGATAATGCTGCAGTGAACAGAGGGGTGCGTAAGTCTCTTTGAATTGTTGATTTTATGTTCTTTGGATAAACACCCAGTATTGGGATGGCTGGGTCATATGGTATTTCTATTTTTAATTTTTTGAGAAATCTCCATACTGTTTTCCATAGTGGCTGCACCAGTTTGCATTCCTGCCAGCAGCGTATGAAGGTCCCCTTTTCTCCACACCCTCTCCACCACTGTTATTTTTAGTCTGAGCGATTATAGCCATTCTAACAGGTGTAAGGTGATATCTTAGTGTAGTTTTGATTTGCGTTTCCCTGGTGATTAGTGATGTTGAGCATCTTTTCATGTGCCTATTGGCCATCTGTATATCTTCTTTGGAGAAGTGTCTGTTCACATCCTCTGTCCATTTTTTGATTGGGTTGTTTGGTTTTTTGTTGTTGACTTGTGTGAGTTATTTACATATTATAGAGATTAACCCCTTGTTGGATATATGATTTGCAAATATTTTCTCCCAATTGGAGGGTTGTCTTTTCGCTTTGTTCTTGGTTTCCTTTGCCTTGCAGAAGCTCTTCAGTCTGATGAAGTCCCACTAGTTTATTTTTTGTTTCCCTTGTCCGAGTAGATATGGTATTTGAACAGGTCCTTCTAACTGATGTCAAAGAGTGTACTGCCTATATTTCCTTCTAGAAGTTTTATGGTTTAGGTCTTACCTTCAAGTCTTTGATCCATTTAGAATTTAT